TGTGTTTGGTTTTTGCTCAAAGTGGTATGGTGGATTGTGGACAAACATCTCTACTTTGGTCTCGTCTGTCCAAAGAACATTGTTCGTATGGTTTCTTTACATGCAACTTTGCAAACCTAAGCTGACTTGTTCTTTTCAGAGTAAAGAGGCTGTCTCCTTGCAACCTCAACAAACAAACCATAGTTGTTCAGTCTTTTTCTAATTGTACTGTCATGAACTTTAACATTTAACATGCTAACTGATGCCTGTAGAGTCTGAGATGTACCTCTGGGTGTTTTGCAATTTCTCTAAGCATTTGCTGGGACATCCAATCCTGGAAAGATTGGCAACTGTCTTGAATGTTTTTGACTTTTGAATAATCTTTCTCAGTGTAGAATGATGGACTTTATATTGTATGGAAATTGCCTTATAATCCTTCCCAGTTTGATGGGCAGCAACAATTGATTCTCTAACATCCTTGCTGATGTCTTTCCTCCTTGGCATTGTGTTAACACACACCTGAATGCTCCAGACCAGCAAACTGCTAAAACTTTGGCTTTTATGGAGGTGGTCAGACTTGCTGATGGTCAATTATTCAAGGGTATTTGCTTAGCAGCACCTGTCTGCTTCAGAGCCTCTTAATTTCTATGGAAGCGGTAAGGGTGTACTTAGTTTTTCACAAATGACTCCTCCTTTTTGGCTTTATTTTTGTTAAATAAATCATGACACGGTGTAATATGTCATGTGTTATTGTTCATCTGAGGTTGCATTTACCTAATTTTAAGATTGGCTAAAGAACAGATGATTGGTATTATGTCTTGATATATAAAACCATAGAATTCAAAGAGGATCTACTTTCTTTTTCCATGACTGTATTTAAACATTGGATTTTTAATGAATATATAACATATAAATATAGTTTATTTGTTTTTTTTACTGCTCCTCCTTTTTCCTTCTATAGACTTTTTTTTTCTTACTTGATATGTGAACTAAATAGCAAGAAAATGTGTCTATTGCAAAAAAAAAAAATACATGCATGATATTTATATTGATTGATTGGCCCATTTTTGCACCCTCCTGGTTTGTCTGATTCATTTTCCTGAATCTTTTTTTTAAAAACAAAATTCAGAAGAGCTGAACTGCCATATATCCATATGGTTGTTTGGCCAAAACATTTTTTTTCCCAGACACAGGCCTTATTATAACAATACTTTAAACTACGAACTGCAAATATAATTTTGATTGATGAACCTTCTTAAAGTCACAGCGCATCAATGCTTTGGTTAGCAATATTCAACTTTGTTTATCCACATGGTGTATACAACTACATTGTAATCACTTTATTTACATTTTAAAGTATTTTGTACTTTTGTGATATTTGTTGTTAACAGTAATTGATATTAACATTGATATAGAACCAACATGTTCCACAGTGCTTTACAATAATAGAAATGGGACATGAAGAATGTCCTGATCAAACAATCTTACACTCTTTTAAGATTTGAGGTAGGTTAATATAATTAGTTATCTTAACCAAGGACACCTACTGGTGGGGTGGTCTGACTGGGTTACGAACAAGGGATTCCACCAGCTGATATTAATTATATAATTAGATTAATATTATTACATAATTATTATTTTTTCCTTTCGATTCTTCCTGAAATTCACACCTTTTCTTTCTTGTTTGGGTAGGGCCCTCTTCACCTACTGCTCCTGTCTGTCATACATGTTTTGTTAGAATTAATAATTTGTCTTGTTTCCTATTGTACAGCGCTACAGTATGTTGGAGCCATATTAATAACCATTATTGAAATTTGGAAGCAAATCAATGTACTAGGTAATTTGTCCTCTTGCAGCAGCATTCTTGTCTAATCTAAATTCTGCCCTAAGCAATTTACTTCACGTTCTGTATGTGATGCTATTAAGCTAAATAGTTATACTCTGCCTGTACACCAGCCAATCATATGCTTTTTTTCCATTTAAAGATTTTTATTGGTTTTCATCTTGGCAATGCCGTAAACACAAACATGACATGGGGGAGGGGAGGGGGTACAGAACGAAAGCGGGGGGGGGGAAAGGGGGTCCATACCAAGTTTTTTACATCAATGTTTACATTCACAATGACAATGTACAATTTTCGAGATCTCCGGGTGTGTCATTTTCCTACATACATTTTCTAAGTTCTAAGTTTGTACGTCTGACCACTTCTACATTTGTCCCTAACATGGTGTATTGTCGTTCGCTTGTCTATCATTATCTGGTGATCGACCCTGGGAGTCGAGTGCGTCTAGTAGGTTAGCCGTCGGGTGTGTCTCCTGTTCCCCTCACTTCCCACAGCCTCCATGCTTCAACTGCTGTGTCTGTTAAGGGAAGGACCCCTCGGTAGCAGGTTTCATATAGGTGTTGTGTATCAATGTCCCTGCAGACCTCTGCCACCAGTGGTGGTCTTTGAGATTTCCACAACCTAGCTATTGCCCTCTGGGCTGTCAAGAGGATGTGGAAAGCTAATTTCTGTATGCCTTTAGGTATATTGCTTGGCATGTGTAGTAGGAGACTTGTTATGGGTGTGGAGGTGAGCTTGGTGCCTGTTGCGGCTCGAATCAGGCAGTGTATGTTGCGCCAGAAGCTGGTGACTAGTTCACATTGCCACCATATATGAAGTACTGTACCCTCTCCCTTTCCGCACCTCCAGCACTCCGGGGATGAACCTGGGTATAGTTTGTGTAAGCGAGTGGGGACCATATACCACCTATATAGGGTCTTCCTATATTGCTCCAATAGCACCTCCGACTTAATTAGTTTTTTGGTCGTCACTATAGCCCGCTCCCACTGATCTTTACTTATGTGGCATTGTAGGTCTTGTGCCCAGTGCTTGGCTGGATTAGAATCTGCAAAGTGTTGTGTGGGTCGGATGAGTTGATAACACCAGGATAGTGGTTTAAATGTCGGTGCCCATGAACCTCTAGTGGTTGTTTGTTCCCATTTCGTCATACTGAGGGGGTTATCATCTGGGGCAGAGGACTGCCCTGTGTGTTTTCGTATGAATGAGCTTAACTGTATATAAGAGAATTGGGAGGCCTCTGGTATGTGGAATTCCTTTTGGAGAGTTGGAAAGGTTTTTAGTTTGTTATGCGCAAGTATTTGGTGCAAATGTGTGACCCCTTTAGCTATCCATGGCTTAGCGTTAAAGGTTGGGATGCAGTATGTGATAGTGTTGAGCGGGGTGGCTGGCGATAGAGGGGTAGGTGTTACTAGTTTATGTCTAAGCTTGTCCCAAGCCCTGACTGCTATTTTTAGCTGCGATGGCATCTGTGGAGTTTCTGGTCGAAATTTTTTAGGAAGCCACATTATGGTGGGTACATCAAAGGGTTTTATGGCCTGTTTTTCCATAAGCACCCATTGCGGTAAAGCCGTGTTTGTGAAGTGAGGAAGGGTTGTTGCTAATAGCGCTGCTTGGTAATATGTCTTGATGTCCGGTAAGGCAAGGCCACCCTGTCTCACCGGTGTTTGTAGCAGTATTCTCTGCACTCGAGCTTTTTGGCCCCCCCACACAAATCTATTAACGTCTTTTTGTGTGTCTCTAAGGTAGGACATAGGTACCTGAATTGGTAGGTTTCTGAACAGGTATTGAAGCCTCGGGAGTATGGACATCTTAACTGTTGCTACTCTCTCTGTCCATGTCAGAAACAGGGTGCTCCATTTTTTCATTAGTTGGCGGCAGTCTCCCCACACTCTGACATAGTTTGCAGGGAAGGTTTCTGTAGGGTTTTTTGTGAAGGTCAGTCCTAAGTATTTTATCGTGTCTGCCCTCCATTCAAAATTGTGGTCTTTTTTAAGTGCGGTGAGTGTTTGTTGGTTGAGCCGCACTCCCAGTGCTTGTGTCTTGCTGGCATTAAGGGAATAGTAGGACAACGTCCCGTATTCTTTTATGAGGTCTAAGATAAGTGGGAGCGATTGCTCTGGTTTAGAAACACAGAGGAGTATGTCATCCGCAAATGCACTAATTTTAACTTCCCTGCCATGTACCTCAATTCCGCGGATACCCTCTCGCTGCCTAATTTGAACCAGTAGTGGTTCCAGGGCTAGGACGTATAGTAGCGGCGACAGGGGGCATCCCTGCCTCGTACCATTCGTTAGAGGGAATGGGTCAGAGAGAAAGCCGGCTTGCAGTACCCGGGCGGTGGGACCTGCGTATAAAGCAAAGATCTGTTTGATAAATATTGCGGGGATGTCATACTTTAGGAGCGTATGTTCGAGAAATGCCCAATTCAGCCTGTCAAACGCCTTTTCGGCGTCAAGGGCTAGTAGAAGCCCGCCGTGACCCGATCCCCTCATCTTCTCTAACACTAAGGAGAGCTTTCTGGTATTGTCTCTACCCTGCCTACTTTTAACAAAGCCTGTCTGGTCGTCTCCTATGATAGGTGGAAGGATGTATGCTAGTCTGTTGGCCAGTATTTTGGCATATATCTTTGCATCAGTGTTGAGGAGGGAGATGGGTCGGAAATTTTTGCAATTGTCCGTAGGCTTGTCAGGTTTCGGAAGTGTCACTACCGTGGCCACCAGCATTTCAGGAGGAAGGGAGCCTGTCTCCGTCGCTCTATGGTATACTTTGAGCAAGTGTGGGGTTAGTATGTCAATGAATGTCTTATAGTAGGTGTTGGGGAGTCCGTCTGCGCCTGGGGATTTTCCCGGGGGCAGGTTCTTAATTACCGCTCGGATTTCGTGCATAGTAATCGGTTCGAGCAGGGCTTTCGTGGAGTTTTGGTCCAACTTGGGGAGGTCTATATCACATAAGTAGTTGCGTATGGCTTGTGTGTCTGGGGCAGTAGCGCCGCCACTTGAGTCTAGATTGTATAGTTGTTTATAGAAGTGTGCAAATTCCTGTACTATGTCCATGGGGTTCATGAGTTTGTCTCCCGTGTGCCCTATTATGTATGGAATTCTATTTGCGGCCTGCTTTGTCCTGAGCCTGTTGGCTAAGTATTTAGATGCTTTACCACTGTGGTGGTATGTGGTGGCTCTTAGTCTGTGCAAAAAGTACTTGTTTTTTGGGCATTAAGGTTGTTAAGGTCTTGGTACAGGTCACGTAATTTGTCTGCTAGGGCTGGCGTGGGTGTCTTTTTGTTTTGGGCCGTGGCTATCGCTATTTGTTTGTGGCAGTCTAGGAGGGTGGTTTGGTGGCGTCTTTTTATGTACGCGGATTGTTTGATGAACTGTCCCCTCATTACTGCTTTATGTGCGGACCACACCGTGTAGTCCGAGACTTCGCCTGTTGTGTTGGTGAGGAAGTACTCTCTGAGTTCTGTTGTCATTCGCTCAACGAACGGTTTATCAAGGAGGAGAGACTCGTTCAGTCTCCAAGTGCCCCTACCATGGGTTTGGTATTTGTCATCCAAGTCAAGGTATACTGGGCTATGGTCCGACCATGTTATCTCTCCTAATCTGCAGTCGCTCAGTTGTGGTAGGGTTTTGTTATCTATGAAGAATGTATCTATACGCGTGTAGGTGTTGTGGACTCTCGAATGGAAGGAATAATCCCGGTCAGTAGGGTGTAAGATTCTCCAACTATCGTATAGGTTGTACAAGGTCAAGGTGTTGGTTATGCGTGTGCAGAGGGCTTGGGTCCCTGTTTTGTGTTTTCCCCGCGGGGAGGCCGTAGTGTCAAGGGTCGGGGATTGAATGAAATTAAAGTCACCACCTAAGATGAGTCCCCCTTGTTTGTAGGTGTCAAGTTTAGACAGGAGAGATTTGAGGTACGATGCTTGGTTGTCATTCGGGAAGTACGTTGTCCCTATGGTGTATTGTGTGTTGTTGAAAAGCCCCACCACTATAATATACCTTCCCGTAGGGTCTATATGGCTGTTTTGTGGAGTGAAGACCACGTCTTTGTGCACTAAGATGGAAACCCCTTTCGTTTTTGATTCTGACAGGGCGTGAAACTGTATAGGGTATAGTTTTGAGAAGAGGGAAGGTGCAGTGGGACCCCTAAAGTGCGTTTCTTGGAGGCATGCTATATCTACTGAGTTCTTCTTAAGCTCGTGCAGAAGTAGTCTTCGTTTTTCAGGGGAGTTAAGCCCCCGTACATTATAGGTTACTATTCTCATTCTGGTGTGGTCTCCCTAGGATTCGCTGGGGTTGGTACCCGTGTATGTAGGCTGTCGGATTGTCTCTTATTGTGGGATGATTGGCATATGGACTTTCCTAGTGGTTCAGTGTGATTAGTCATTGTAAAAGGATGTGGTATGGAGGCAAGAGGGGGGTGAGGGAAGGTCAACCTGTGTCGTCTGTTTTCTGGCTTTTTCTTATAAGGGGGAGAAAAGGGGGTAGGCGAGGGCATAGCCCTGTTAGGCTCCTTTGGATCGAGCCTTAGTGCGGCGCCCGGAGGTCGCTCGCACGTTAGTGGGGTCGTGAAGTTGGGACACTCCCGTCAGGAGGGAGTCACTCGATCCAGCACGCACCGGGGCACTATGGGTATAGGTGTCATTAGCCGCATGTGTTATTATTTTTTTTAATTTTTTTTTTATTTTTATTTTTTTATATGTTACGGTGCCCCAACTCCCTAACCTATTGTAATTGGGCAGTGTCAAAATCTAGCCGAGAGTATATCTCGTTAGCTACTGTAGTAGTTGGTGCGTGGGGAAGTCAGGGGGCCTCAGTAGTCCCGTTTGCAAGCTATGGGTGTGTGGTAGTAGTATAACAAAACATAAAATGTGAAACAGCATAATAACTAGTGCAACAAAATAGTTCATAACTTGGGTGAGCGTCTTACGTATACCGCATGGGTATGGAGGCTCTTTATCTGGATGCCCAGACTTGAGTCAGACGAGGAACTTTCGCAGGGCCCGTTTTCGCCATCTCTGCCAGCAGGATACCCCAGTCTCCCATCAGCCGTATACCTTGTGGTGCCGACGTGATGGAGTGGAGGGAATCTTGGTGGTACACTAGCAGCTTGGCAGGGTAACCCCATCTGTAGCTCAGTCCCTGTGTGCGTAGCGACAGCGTAATTTGCGCCACAGATTTGCGGAACTGCAGTGTTTCTGCTGATAGGTCAGAGAAGATTTTTATGTTGTGGTACTTCTCAGGCATCCCTTTGTTTCTGTTTGCTCTGATGATCCGTTCCTTGGCATGGAAGAAATGCACTCTCGCTATGACGTCTCTCGCTGCGGTGGTAGGTAAGTGGCTGGGTCTCTGAAGACGGTGCGCTCTGTCTAGTAGTAGTTGATCTGGATGCAGTTCAGGGGTCAGCTGCTGGAACATATCTTGTAAATAGTTGTCTAGATCAGCATTTGTTACTGATTCCGGTATTCCCCTAAATCTGAGGTTGTTCCTCCTAGACCTGTCTTCCAGGTCTGCCAGCTTGATTTTTTGGGCTGTAATGGTGTCTTCTAGTTCCTGCATTTTGTCAGCCACACTGTTATGGGCCACTGAGAAGTCATCCATTTTGGATTCCAGGTGTGCTGTACGGGTCCCTATATCTTGCAGATCCTTTCTGAGCTCAGCTGTCAGTGTGAGCATTTGAGCCCTGAGGCTCCTCTGTACTGAGTCCGTTAGTTCTGTCATCATGCTCCTCATGGTGGCCACCGTGAGGGGTTGGTCGTCCACACTCATGTCAGGGGAGGCTGGGGAAGCGGGGGAGCCCTCCCGCGATCGCGGCGGGCCGCCATCTTGTTCCTGGGTTTCCCGCGTTTTCATCTGTGCGGCTTTTAAGAAAAAGGACGCTTTATCCGCTTTCGCGGGTTTGCTTTTTTGCCTCTGGGACATGGTGGGTACTTGCGGTAATGCTAGCGGTGGGGATCGCTCGTTAGACCGGTTTTTTTATTGCCCCGTGCGGCTCGATCGGCGGGAGCTACTCCGACATGCGGCCGTGCAGCTCGAGCGCCGGACCATCATATGCTTTTTTAAAACATTGTGTAGTTATCCCCCACTCAGTTTAGACTGTAACTTGTTTTGGCCCCCATCGTATATGTACGAATACATTCTCGTGGAGGTCTCTGAAAAATGTCAGCCTTTATTAAATAAAACAATAATAATTAATATAAATTATACATATGAATGAGTGATGTTAAATAAAATTATTGCAAACAGGGAAAAAAAAGAAACTTAATAAAAATGTAGATTTCTGCCATAACACAGAGAGCAGTATTGGAAGAATATAGCTAGTATGCCTTAAGGTGAAAGAATGATTGTCATAGTGTGATTAGCATATTACAATGTCAATCAGCCAGGTCTCATTTTCAATTTTATGTACCCAGGATTTATGTATTATATTAAATTTTCTCTGCATTGTAAAATGCAGAGTACACAGAAGGTACTAAAAATAATTGTCGTTAATATTTATTTAATCTGCAGTTTAGAGTGCAATATTAGTTTTCAATCCTTCATAGATCTGTCAGAGGTAAAAAAAAAAAAGAAAGAAAAGTAGATAATCACGCCCCAAGATCTCCTTCTTCACCGACTTCTCTCCTTCAAATTACATTTGGACCTTTGATGGGATCTCTGGCTCTGCTGACAGATGGTCCTTCCGTTCCTATACAACTAAAAGAATAAATAATGCCCTCTATCAGCTCTGTCACTCGAAAAGATGGATTACTGCTTGTCCAAAACTGGGAATGACAGGGCAGTGAAAGTTGCAGGCTTGTCCTTCTTTCATTCTGATTAATGGTAGTGTCACAGCCTGGATTCCACTGCCTTCCTACATAATGAGTTAGGAATGTATATCTACTGTCACAAACACAAGCCGGATGTCAGAAGAAGAAAGGTTTTGGAATGCTAGAAATTATATACAGCTTTCTTAACATTCCCCTGACACAGCTAAAGGGAAAGTCTAATTTATGGAGACAAAATACAGAGCAGTTTTTGAGTGAGGAGTGGAATGAGGAGATTTTGCAGGGGAGGGAGCGGGGGACAGGCCAACCACAGCACCCCAGATGTTTGTGAACTAAATTTCCCATTTCCCTTAAGGCTGACTAAGCATCATGGGAAATATAACTCCAAAAAACATCTGGGCTGCCAAGACAAAGCCATCATAGGTCAGGTTTGCCCTCCCCGCTCCTCCTTAATAGCCATGGATTTGGCAAAACTTTTGGCACAATTATTGTAAGCTGTCTGTCTTCAGCAAACACATTCTCTTTGCTGTTTTAATATATAGAGACATCCTAGGGGAATCGTAATCCTCTAAAACATAAATATTTTTTCAATTCACATATTTCAGCAGGATGATATTGAGAGATAAATACAGATACATTATACAGAGACAGAAGTTAGACGTTAGATTGAAAGTGTGCGGTTTATTAGGTATGGTGTGCTATAACTAACCCAAATGTATCTGTATAATCATGGATGCTGTAAAATTTATAGCTTGAAAAAGTGAAATATCACATCGCACAATCAGTATTAATAATGTATTCCAGGCAATTACAAGTTGTTACATGCTTGAAGGATTTTACAATGTTGCAAACAGTTGATGTAAAGATATCTTTTATGTTTATTAAATTTTTACATTTACATTCTTGCACAGATTAAAATCTATTTGAACTAAATTCAGTTCTGCTATATGCTGCGGCTCCCATAACAGCAATTCTCCATTTAATTACACAATGCCGCACTCTGGCTGTTTGTTAATGTTCAACCCCTTCCATAAATATTTTCTGTTTAACCCCTTCATTGCTGAGTTGAATGTGTATGTAAATGTGTACAGTACAATAAAAAAAAAAAATGTAAAAAAAGATTGATTAACAAAATTAAAAGCAAATAGAAGCATTATAGCTCCCATACATTGCACTAACCCTTTGTGAGTTTTGCGAAGGATCTCTCCAAAGCTTGGCTGTATAGCAGAAGCCAGTTCATGACATTATATGAGTGTTTGCGTGGATAATGAGGAGCATGGAAAGAATAATGATTTGGAGTTTAACTATACTTTTTCAACACATCCTATAGATAACACATTGAAATATATGTAAAAACATTGCATCATAATAAAAAGAACTAAAAAAAATACTAAAAAAAAATACAGTGGTGTGATGAGCCCCCACCCTGTCAGGAGTCAGGATGTGACACAATCGATCATGATGCTTACTTAACTTTCCATAGGACGGCTAAACTTATCATGTAAGCAATGCTTTCAGGGCTCATCATATGAATCTTGGATCTGTAGTTCAAATGTCATTCTTCTACTGTCAAACACAAGCAGCTAAACTACAAATCATGGAAACCTGTTGACATCATATACAGCAGTATTTTTTTATTTTTTTTGCAAAATGGGAAAAACCGCAGGCTAGGAGGGAGGAGAGGAATGGAGCAAATCATTTTTTAAAACATACCTAAATGTAACCTAACCTATATACTGCATTAAACATCTGTGGATACCTGTATTTTAAGTAATAATTTCACAACTTTAGGAAGTTTTTTATTTTTTTTTTGTTTTTTTGGGCAGGGCAATCTTCATCTACTGTTCCCGTAAGTCATACATGTTCTGTAAGAATTAAATATTTTTCTTATTATATCGATTTTACAGCACTGCGGAATATGTTGGCATTATATATTAATTGCAATTATAATTATCTTTGTTTAAGCTTGTCTCCCTCTGTCTCTCCTTATTTAAAGAGTTGCTCCAACTACAAAATAGTGTTTAAAGAACATTATTTTTGGTCACAGTAAAAACCAAAAAAGAATAAAGCAATAATTCACCTGTGTTCAAGCATGGAGGCCATGTTCTGCTGGCAGCTCAATCCTCCCATAGTGATGAAACTCTCCCTCACTGGAGAGGGATGTCAGGGAAGATGGGGAGCTGTGCATGCTGCCGACAGACAACAAATATGCACAGAATTTACATTAGCCAGCCAAAAACTCTTTTTCCAGGTTGGCAAATGATTAACTAATGACGCTGTCAAGTGCGGAATTACACCTGTGGCAACAAAGCACTTTAACTTGTTTTAAGCACTTTTAAAGCATTTATGGTGAAACACTGCATATACATACTACAAGCACCATGGCGTTCATGGCGCTTGAAGTAACCCTTTAAGTCTATCATTTTACTCACTTTCTTCAAGGATCACTATAGGGTCAGGAACACAAACATGTATTCCTGACCCTATAGTTTTAAAACCACCATGTAGACCCCTGGGCCCGTCATGCCTCAATAAATATAGCAAAATCTTACTGTATTCAAGCCTGAAGCTGTAACTCTGCATGCTGTTTGCCTCAGAAAAACAAGCAGTCTGCTGACATCAACAGAAGTGGTAGCCTGATCCAATCACAGTGCTTCTCTATAGGATTGGCTGAGACTGACAAGGAGGCAGATCAGGGGCAGAGCCAGCATGATTCAAACACAGCCCTGGCCAATCGGCATCTCCTCATAGAGATGAATTGAATCAATGAATATCTATGAGGAAAGTTCAATGTCTGCATACAAAGGGAGGAGACACTGAATGTTTGGATGCATTTTAGGGAGCCATGACCCAGGAAGAATCTCTAACAGCCGTCTGAGGAGTGGCCAGTTAAGTTATCACTAGGCTGTAATGTAAACACTGCATTTTCTCTGAAAAGACAGTGTTGACAGCAAAAAGCCTGAAGGTAATGATTCTACTCACCAGAACAAATTCAATAAGCTGTAGTTGTTCTGGTGACTATAGTGTCCCTTTAATCTCTTTTTGAGTCTTTGCTCCTTTTCTCTGCTCCAAACTATAATTATTTTTCTACTGGTTTTAAACTTGTCTCATTGTGCCGTTTTGTGCCAGTGTGTGGATCTGTGTGTGTATGTGTGTGTGTGTATCTATCTGTGTGTCAAAGTGTGTGTATCGGTGTTTGTATGTGTCTGTGTATCAAGGTATGTGTATCTGTGTTTGTATGTGCCAGTGTGTATGAATCTGACACACAGATACACACACTGACACAGATACACACACCTTGACACACAGTGTGTGTATATCTGTGTTTGTATGCGCCAGTGAGTGTATCTCTGTGTCAGTGTGTATCTGTGTGTGTGTTTATATGTATATGTATCTGACACACAGATACACACACACACAGGCACATAGTGGCACACAGATACACACTGACACACCTTGACACACAGATACACACACCTTGACTCACAAATACACACACAATTAGATACAAACAGTGACATATACACACACTTGCACCCACAGATACACACTGGCACATACACACACTGACATACTCAGATACACACACACTGACATACACACACACAGGCACATACAAACACATTGATACACACTGGCCCATACACACAC